AGAATTAACATTATTTTGAGGGATATCATTCACATCATTCTCAACAACAACATTTTCGGAAATGACACCATTTTCCAAGTTTGTCATTTTTGGATTTTCTAAAACTCGAGAAAAAATATCTTTCTTCAAAATTGTTAGAAAAATTATATTAAAATGCGAGTTTAACCAGATAAAAATCCCGAGTTTAAACAAATCACCAGACTAACCGCCAAATGTAAGAAATAATAATAATAAGGGAAAAATACGGAAAAGGTAACTGTGGTTGGACCCATTTTCAGACAGGGTCACGTGTTTCATTCTTTATCAAAGTGGTTCATGTGTTTAAATTCCGTTATCACAAGAGAGTCACGCCGTTAAAAACGTCTGAAAAAATCGTTAAAAGTAACTCCGATTTTCAAAAGTACACGAAAAATTAAAAGAAAAATACTGAAAGGTGCGTCTCGTCAAGATGACCTCCAAACCACTTTCGCGTTAGGATTTTCCAGATCTGTTTGAATTAGTTTTTTAAAATGATTTCGCTAATACCACTTTTGCGATGAACTTTCCGGTGACAAGGGTGGCTGAAAACAAAAAAGAAAGATGGCCTAGCGGTCATCTTATTGAGACACACTTTCCGGCATTTTTCTTTTAATTTTTCAGGCACTTTTGAAAATCAGAGTTACTTTTAATGGTCTTTTTCAGACGTTTTAACGATGTGGCCCTCTTGTGATAACGGAATTCGAACACATGAAACACTTTGATAAAGAATGAAACACATGACTCTATCTGAAAACGGGCACAACCACAAGTACTTTTTCCGTACTTTTCCCTAATAATAAGAATAAATCAAAACGGAAAAGAGATAAGATAAGAAAACTTATCGCAGGATCGCCCGTTAATACGAACTGGCCTTGAAGAAAGACAGCCCCTGTATCCCGATAGCTATTCGGATGGGTCTGGCTAGCTCGCTCCCAGGATAATCCTACCACGTTTCATACTCGTAGCTACCTTGGCTGAAATCTTCGACCGTTGCCAACTATTGCCGATTGATAGTGAAAACTCTCAACGAAAGGAATCAAATTTCTTGAAGAAAAGTATAACGTAAAGAGGAGAGGAGAGGAGAATAGGAAACAAGGTCTTTCTACTTTGAGGAAGAGTATTTTTACTCGCAGGTGATTGTTGTTTTGTTTTGTACGTATATGAATTAGAATTCTAATGGAGCATGCAGTGGGTTCTTCTTATATTTTTTGGAAATCAGGCACATACGTATATCATGAAATAGGAGTCTAGATTTTGGATAAGTGGACAGGCTGGTCCAAAAGACAGTAACGGTGCTAATTAACTTTTCAGTTACGGATCATTAAATCTGTCCAACTTGACTAGCTATCTTTTAATCATTTTGAAATTCAAAATTTCAAGTCATTAATCACGTTAAATTACATATGAATGTAATTAACATGAAACATTCACCTATCCAAATTCTATGTACAGAATATTTGTCCTCACATTAAATTGTCTTCATACCTGAGTCATTGTCTTAAACGCTGATACTCGAGCAGACATAAACATTTGAGATAACTTTTCTGGTCACTTTATATGATCCTTGAATGATATTCTTGATCATATTATAAGAGATAATTTATTTTCTATAATGGACAAATATTCATCACATTAATGCACCACTTTTACAACCATTACAACTATGGATTCTTACTGAAGTAAATCCATATATTATAGTTGTACTTTGATGTATAATAAGCTTTTCCAAATTCTTATTTTATACATGTAAACTTTAGGACTCATAAATGAGACCCCAAGAAAATAATATTTCATCATATTTGCAACAGATTCTTCGCACCTGGATGACAGAGACCCTCCTCTCCGCCCTCCTACATTCCTGTTATAGTTTAAAGTTCTGTAATGTGGTAATTGATGAGAAAATTAGATGTTACTATTATAATATAATATCAATTGTGTTCCTGAAAAGCAATAGTGAAAAGAAATATGTGCACACAACATGCAACATGAATATGAATTCTTTTATGTTTATAATAATTAGATAAGGTGATTGTGTGTTAAGTTATGGTAATTATATTTGGAATTATTCCTGAAAAGAATTTGAATTTGATTGAATAATTGCAACAATAAATAATGCAGTAAAAACTAAACATAGCCGAAAAACATATAAAATGGACGTTTGTGCCTAACTACAACAAGGGTGACTACAATAAGTCTTGATGAAATGATTTATTTTGTAGAAGAACTATGCTTGATTATCATGGTGCAAATTATATTATGTAATGTCCTGATTGAACAAGATTTTTGCATCATGTCAAAATATCACTTGTAGTGAGTACCTCCTGAAGAGGATCTAATGTGAACAATTTTCTTATTTGTTTTCACATGATTTAATGATTAGGATTTTAAATATAAATTGAGCTATAGTCGTACTACTTCTCAACCTTTTCTGCAGAAAGAGTTCAATGAAGAAAATATTATGCAATGAATTTGCAATTGCTTATTATAAACCTTCTATTTGTTTACCTGAAGTAAACATATACGGAGTATTATTTTATGAACCAAATTGTATAAATAAAGGTGTTGGAAGCTTTTAATTAAGCATATATCCAAATCTAGAAATAACACATGAGAATCTTTTCATTTGAATGGTGTTTGATTATATAATAAATAAAATATGTAGTCATTATATTATGAACACCTGAAGTATTTGTATGCTAATTTGAGATCCTAGGAGGATCAAAACATATCTCATTTATGTTTTATGGACAAATATTTGAGAATACTCAATTATTAAATGTTTGATGTGCATATGAGCATTAACACCAAATTTGATGGTCTTGAAATACACATTGCAAAATCATGAGTTTAGACAATTGCTTCTGCTTAGAAACTCTTGAACAACTTGGTTACTAATGTCCATCAAATCTGTTTAAACAATGATGGAGGTTTTGTATGCTAAAGATTTTCATCAGCTCAAATTATATATGGAGTTGATTGAGGCGAAACAATTAATTGGTCCAGAAGACCAAGTGCTATTCTTTTCTTTCTTAGTCAAGTTTTTTCCCAAAAGGTTTTTCTTGGCCAAGGGTTTTAAGGTATTTTGTGGTTTTTAAAGAATGAGAAAGATTAATAACATCGAGAAGATTTTTAGCCTCTAGAAGAGTGATTCTAATATTAGTTCGGGACTCGGGAGATAGTACTTTGAAGGTCTTAATTGGTCCTTGTCAGATCGAACAATTTATTGGTTCGGAAGACCATATACAACAATACTCTTTTTCCTTAATCAAGTTTTGTCCCATAGAGTTTTCATGGTCAAAGGTTTTAACGAGGCAGTTTGTCACTTTGAAAAAAAGTATTATGATGCATAAAATTCGGAGTATTATTTTTCTCTACAAAAGATAAATTCAAATGCAATCCGGAAGATTAGGCCCCGAAGGTCAATGACTGTATTCTTTTCCTTTACTAAGTTTTCCCACATGATTTTCTTAGTTAAAGGTTTATAATGAGGCAGTCAATACTACACATCGTTTTACATATATTATGCACTCTTTTCCTTGATAGGTTTTTTCCTTAAAGGGTTTTTTCAACGAGGTTTTTAATGAGGCATACACATAGTACAATTTGTGCTACAAGAAGTCTGTGACCATAGTAGATTGGATTCTACAAGAAGTCTTGAAGTGATGCGGTCAATAGGAGGAATACATACAAGTTGCACTCTTTTTCCCTTGACCAAGGTTTTGTCCCACTGGATTTTCCTCGGCAAGGTTTTTAACGAGGCAGCATTTTCAAGCGTATAGAGAGAATGATCACCTTTTGTAATACTCCCTCCGTCCCAATTTGTAAGATACTTTACGGTTTACGATGTTTGACCGACGATAAAGCAAATTGATCCCTGTCACCACTCAAATTAGTTTTAGAAAATAAAATTTACATATTCAGAAACTACATTAAAACTGCTACAAAACCTGCAAAAAATGATTCAAATTTCATAAACTTTTGATATATAAAGTAACAGATTAAGAGTGATTTATGTTGACCAAGTGAATAGTAAATGTATCTTACAATTTGGGATTGAGGGAGTATTTTTTTAGAAATGTATAACCAAAGGGGAGTGTTATCAGGGGCGGATCTAGCATTTACGTTCAGGTGGGGCCAAAATTTAATTAAATAACGTATATTATAAAAAAAATGTCAAAATGTAGTATAGTATAATAATATCTTAGAAGTCAAAATGTAAATTATAGAAATGTCAAAGAATAAATTGAATATTACAGAACCGACATTACAATTATCTTAAAAGTCATAGATATCGAATCGAAGTTTTATCGGTTACCCAAATGTTTAGTGTCAATTTTTAGGTTAGTTTCTCGGAAATAAGATAAACCGATTTTTTTACTCTAAAATTTATACTCTATGTGAAGAAAACTTATTTTCACCTACGAAATCCAATGTATTCAACTAATTAATTTTTCAGTTAATATTCAAAAGCCCAATGAATTAAACTAATTAATTTTTAGGACAATATTCAAAAAGCTCAATCAATTGAACTAATTGGTTTTTCAGACTAATAAAGCCCAATTAGTTGGACTACTTAATTTGTGTAAGATAGCATGTTCATGGACTTGGATGGAAAATACAAAAAAAATGCTGCTCCTACTAGGAATCGAACACATAACCTCTACACTGCCAATCACGCCTCTACCATCACACCAACATAACTTTTATTTACAATAGGACGTTTGTTCTAATTATACCATTTCTTCCCGGTACATATATAATATATATATACTAGTAATTTCTTTTTTTTTGAGGTGGGGCCTAGGCCCTCCCTGACCCTATGCCAGATCCGCCCCTGAGTGTTATATAATTATGGATGTCCATTACTCTCTAGCCCGGCTCATATGTAAAACGGTACGAGCCCATATCATGTATTTACCCTAACTCCCCTCCCCTTATACATACACACTATGAGAATGAATAAATGACTTCCACAGTGGAACATTTTTTAACATTTTAACCCAAAAGCATGATGCCTAATGTCAGTAATGAAAGTATGAAACCAGTATTCATTTCATCATTTGCCTTATAAAGACACTCTGAAACTCCCAAGACTAAGCAGTCAAGTACTTGTTTTTCCGGATCATTTCCCGAGGCTCGATGGATTCTTCGCACCTGCATGGCAGAGACCCTCCTCTCCGCCCTCCTCCTATCTGGGTCACTGATTCCTTATTCGGGTTATCCGATAACTCGTCTTCCGGGTTGAGCACGCCCTTTGGGTCACTCGACTCGACCCGCACCGCAACAGAGAGCGATGACGAAGATGAAGAATACGAGGAAGAAGGATTCCTTGCCGAGTTAACTCGCCAAATCGCTGCTTATACGCTCCAAGGTGAAGATGAAGAAGAATACGAAGACCCAAATATCCTTCTTGAAGATCCTAAAAATATTTCAAGTGCCCCAGAAATTTCCCCCAAACTCGAGGAGGTAATAAATAAGAATCCCCCCCCCCCCCCCCCCCCCCCCCCCTCTTTAAATCGACTATTTCTGAAAATAAAATAAAAAGCTTCATTTTTTTGTTAAAAAAAGGCTCCACAACTTTAATGTTCTGTTAATGGTTTTAAAGGTTGACACGACGGAAGATAAATTGTCCGCAAGGAAACAGAGCAGGTCTGCTCCGCGAAGAAGACGAGTCTCGAGAACCGAGTCAGCTCATAAGCGAGTTGAGGAGGGAGCGGAGCAGAAGAAGGGGAGAAGAAGAGGCGGCGGCGGAAAGGCTCAAAAGCTGAAAAGCGGGTCGGGTATGCAGGCGATTTTCCTCGGCGGGTCGGGTCACGGAACCGGCGTCTCCAGTGGTGGGACCGGCGTATTCCTACCCCGCGGAATCAACCACTCCGGACAAACAGAACCTAAGATGAAATCAGGTAACCTTATTCTTCTGAACCTTTTTTTTGTTTGTTTTTGTTTTAGTTTTATTTTCACTTTCGCTGAAACTGTTCCATTTTCCTTTTCTGAAAATCCAATTAAGATTGTACTCCGTATCATTGCAAATTTTATCAATTTTGATAAAATAAAACTTTTGTTCTAAAACATTTGTACTTTATTTTTTCTTTATCTATTTAATATTAACTGCATAAACTCATTTTTCTTAATAATCGTGTAATCGTTTTATAGGACGAAGAAAATATTAATCAGTTGAAAAATATTCCGCATCCGTTTGAAATCTACCCCGTAACCTTTTTGGATTATTATTAGCTTTAGGAATCTGGTCAGCTATATTTCAACAAACTCCAATTTGTTTTATTGACGTGTAGAGACCGTGTTCCAAACTAGAGTCTAGGTGATTTTGATTCTTCTAACCACAAGTAGGCGCACCTAAGTAGTGTTTACTGAAGGTTCAAATGCCAAAAATACCCCCACCGGCCCACATCTTCTTAGTTCTTGAGATAAATTTGAGCCCTTCAATATATTTTTGGAAAATATCCTTGGAAATGAATAAAATCTATTTAGGAAAGTCTTATTTCGGAATAAAATATAGAACTCCTATTTTGAAATTCCCCAAGTGTTTTTAGTCTTATTTAGGCTTTTTTTATATTTTTATATTTGAACTTCTATTATTAACAAGGAATAAAAATATAATATTCATTGAAATTCCAAAATGTTTCCCTAGATTATACTATCACCAAAATGTGATAAATGCGGAATAGGAGAACTTTATTATAGCTAGGTACGTGGCATTTGAAGATGCAAGTTAAAATGTTCATTTTTGGCACAAGTATTTGTTTGGGTGGGGTTGAGATATTCCATTAATTGGGCAATTGAATCAAGTGCGCATTGTGTAATTTTCCGTGTGAATTTTATTTATCGCATGTTTTGTTTGAGTGGGATGAAGATCTTCCATTAATTAGAGAATTGATTAGTGCGCATTCGACAATGCAGTGTGTAATTTTTCCCGTACATAAAACTACAAAAGCGTGGTAACTATTTTATGTGAATGTTATTTTCATATTCCGTACAAAGTATTTGTGATTGTTTGGGTGGAGATTGAGATTTTCCATTAATATGATATGGAGATTGAGGTGAGGGTAGCAAATTATAACTACAAAAAAAAATCACAAAAAATATTACGTGATTGACACAGATTTTGGCACGGAATTATCAATTTTTCGTGCCAAATAGCTCGCGCCAAAGTGTTTTTTGGCACGGATTTGGCATATCCCTACTAAAACCCGTGTCAAATTCCTGCCACAATCTCTTCGAATCTCATGTTTTTTTGTAGTGATACCTCAAAAGCGTGATATCTAAAGTCACATTTGGCGGATTGTGAAAATGATGTTTGGTAAAGTATATGTTCGGTCTTAGCTTTTAGTAAGTAAAAAGACGTACACGGACATTACTAAATTTTAAGAGTAAAATGCATAAATGGTACTTGAACTATCATCATCATATCGGCAAATTCAGCTTCCATTAAAATGATAGATTTAATAATTCGAGGACCAAAACGATATGATAATGATAGTTGAAGGACCATTTATGCATTTTACTCAAATTTTAATACCCAGTCAAGTATATAAGTATATCTTATTTCAGCTGCTGCAATTTCTAACATTTTCTTTAATTCTTAGAGAAATTTGATTTTTAATTTGTTCAACGGTCAAATTGGATAGGAAACACAATCATTAGGAAAATTTAATCAGATTTGTATGCATTGCTTGAAATTCCAAATTGTATAACATATACTCCGTACTTCTTATTTTACTCCGGGCTTTCACGCACAAAATAAATAGTGAAAAAATTGATATGATTCACATAAATCATTAGTATGTATATAGAATATTCTGGTATAACCAAGCATTTATATTTTTTATTACATATAAATATACCCCAATGTGTATGTCTGGTATTTTAGGTGACCTTTATTGTGCTCGTTTTTTAGAATTCATGTATCCCCGTGTTTAATAAATTAAGAGAATTGATAAAAGTTGAGAAAAACTGTAATAAATTAAAATCCCCTTTTTTTGCATTTTTGAAGGTTACAGTTTTTGAAGTTATTTTTATATTTTACATGTTTAAAATTCTTTTACATCTTAATTTTATCTTCTTTACAAATTATTTTTATAGTTTGCTTTCTTCTTTTATTTTAATTTTTTTATAATTTAAATTTTTCGAAAGTTATTTGGCAGGTCAAAATGGTCAAATTGTTTATCAACATATTGAAAATGCATCATCATCGATATTACCCCAGTGTCGCAAAGGCCCCCAACTACGATGGGATAAGAGGGGATCAGATGTATGCAGTCTTATCCATGTACTAAAGTACATAGAAATTGTTTTCGAATGACCCATAGTGAAAATCGCGTTGAAAAATATATAGATCGACTTTTAATTCACAATAAAGAAACGCAGACAGTTTAGTAATGATGGCTGTGTTTGAATCTATCTCTTTTCTCAAGACAAGATTCTACGACTAAAGAAAGAATAAGAAAATTCAGAATCTTTCCTGAAATGAAGAAGCGGAATGAGTGACGAGTATCTTTGTATACATGTGATAACTATCATTCCAACGAATGAACACTTGACCTTTTATGATATGTGGGGTTGAAATTTCCCAATTATTGTTGCCAACTTGCGGTCTCCTAATATCACTTGTATACCACCTACTCCATGTCCACTCATTCCGGGTGTTTCCGTATAATTAGTTTTACCATCTTTATCAACAAATATCTTCCCTTAATGCTTTCTCCTTGTCATTTTGTTCCTCCAAAAAAGTTGAATCCCTAATCTCAGTACCCCAACCCAATTTGACCCGAAAGATATATAGGAGGTTATAAATTACGGTGACTAAGTCAATTCAACGATGGTAGAGCTAAATGTCCCGTTCAGCACATAGGAGTTGTAACATTCAAATGAATACATGATTGATGCGGTTTTTTATTCTTAGTCATTCCTCCCAATTTCCTAGTACTCCATGTCCCTCTCATTTTGTGTGTCCTTTTTAGTTTGGCACAATTATGAATAAAATGATTATTGAAAAGGTAAAAAGTCGTAATTGAGATTTGAGTGCAATTAATTAAAACGTTGTAGGTGGCATCTGACGTAAGGAGTAGTACTTAAAATGCTCAATAATTTTTTATATGTTGAAAATTAATTTTCTTTTGTGGTAATTTTTATTCCGTACTATGCATGTGCTGCATTTATGAAACTTCATGATAGTATAATTTTGTATGAAAAACATCCCATGCCTCTACCTTTTTTTTAAATCTATGTATGTGTACTCATTTTATAATTTGTTGCTCCTTTTACAATGGTTGGTAGTGCGGTCGTGCCAGTGCACTGCCACTATAGATTGCGCGGGAGAAGGTATATGAAATTTGTGATAATTCTGCAAACTTCTATGCACATACTAATAATATTAATAAATATGCATTGGGTATGTTTGGCAATTTGCTTATGAGCCAGCTTTTAGCTTGTTTGACCCATTTCAGCTGTTTGATTAGTCAAAGAAGCTAATAATAATGTTTGATAAATGGCTTTTAAAATTAGCTTGTTGAGTTTGAAAAGCTGAAAAAATGGATGGTGGAAGAAGCTAAGGGGAGCAACTTCTTCATTTGGCTGGTTCAATTTACACTCTATCAGCCATTTCGAAACAGCCAATTTTACCAAACAGTTATTTATAATCAGCTAACATAACCAGTCGGTCAAAACAGCTAACACAACCAGCTGTTACGAAACAGCTGACACAACCAGCTAACAGCAATAGCTAACAACCATTTACCAAACAAGGCCATTATGAATTGAAGTTTACTACTCCGTATAACATGTGAATGAATTTCATGATTCCCATATTTGATAATTTTTTGTTATTGTAATACATCTTCCCAGACAAATCATGTTTTGTTTCACAAACAAAAAAATAATTGCTCAGAAACGTGTGTAAGATGATGTATGCATACAAGTGTGTACAAATAGATTTTTTCATAATAAATATGTTGTATTTCTTGTTTTTTTTGAAAGGAAACTGATTGATTATATTAGAATCTAACAGTGAAAGACATTACAAACTTATCAAAATGAAACAACCTCCTCCTACAAACTCACCATAACCCGAGAGATTTGAAGATTAACTTGGCTACCGAAGTCATCTTACTTCTCCAACAATAATACCTACCTACCTCAAAAATATAATCCGCCCAAACAACAAAGGTTCCAGTAAAATCCTTATTTCAGGCGTCTTCATCCAGACCCTAGTCCTGCAGCTCCTGTGTGGTGGCGGTTTTGGATGGGGATGAATCAGCCACATAACGTCTTCTTCCTCCACCAAATGAGACAACTAAGTCACCCGCACCGATCCCTCAACCTCCCAATTGGAGCCCAAATTCGCCCCTTCTACCAGATTCCACACCGCCCTTGTTCCACACGGATCAAACATAGCTGGTGTAGCTTTCATCTCAAACACTAGCAAAACCAGAATAGCCAAATCCAACATCGGACTATCAAGCAGCCTCACAACTCTAGCTACCACTGGTCCATGATCGCCTCTAAACCCGCTGGCAACACCCATCACACCAGGACCATCACACGAACTGACTATTTCTTCCTCAACCCCCTTGCTACTCCGCGCCGCTGGTCAGATCTTCTACCCTCAGGATTGCCTGGAAAAAGTCGTAATACCCAGCCGAAACTTGCTCCCACCCTTGGATGACCACAGGCCACTTCGAAGCAAAAACCAACTCCTTCTTCAACCCAATCGTCAAAGCCTGGTCCCAATCAGTCCCTAGATATACTCGCCCCGCCGATCCCTACCGATCCAGTCGCGCTGCCACACGCCTTCTATGGAAAACTGTTCAACCTAATCGTCTAAACCCTAGGCTCCGTTTGTGATCCAATATGATTAAGATTGTATTTCTTTTTGAATACAATATAATTTTAAATTTTTATTTAGGATTTCATTTTTCTTATATATGAAATAATTACATATTTATGACCTAAATAAATGTTTTTAGTTTTCACTGACTATGCTTAGTCCAATTAATTTATGTTCAATTTTTACACTATATTTATAGTAATTTTAATAATATTTTTGTGAATAGATTTTCTTTCTATAGTACTTTTGCTAAAGTTCTTTGAATATATGCAAGTCCGTTATATTTTTAAATTTCATATAATTTGAATAATTAATTAATTTAGCATGGTATCATAACTTAGAAGATTCAAAGTATCTTTTGGATTATTTAAAAAAAGGTAACTCCAAGATAGGTTATTTCACGGAATCCGTTAAGCCGTTTCCCGTCACGGAGGGATTCCTGGTTTGTTTTACAAAGTTAGTACGTTGTACGACTCCTCAGGAAAATGTCCATTCTTCGAAATTGACGGTCGGTATGTTTGAGCCGGTGAAATCCCGCCGTACAGGGTGGGGCAGCAAGTAGCTGTATCTTCGTTAGAATCTGGAACATGGGATTCGATTATTGGAATCTCGAACATGGATTCCATTAATGGAATCTGGATCCACCAAAGCCAGACAACTTCCATCAACCCACGCGCTCCGCAGTCCATTCCATTTACGCAACCACCGCCGAATTTAAACTTATTCCCCACCGCTGTTTTTTCTGGTCCCTTTCCGGAGATTAAGACGCATCCCAGGATATTCAAACTTCAGAAATTTGTACGAATTTTGAAATTTTTTGAATTCCTTGAAATGCGGGCGCCCACAAATTTTCGATGCAAAATATAAAAGAAAAATGATGTTTGTACACACTTTTGTACACACTTTTGTACACACCTATGTCTGTGAAAGCTTTTTTTTGTCTGTGAACATCGATTCACAGACAATGTTTTGCACAAACAAAATATTTTCTGTGAACCAGATTCACAGACAAAAAAAAAGCTTCACAAACATGGTGTGTACAAAGTGTGTACAAGGGTGTGTACAACAAGAATGGTTGAATATAAAATTATCTCCTTTCGGTCCGTATTAAATTCTCACTTTCCTTTTTTGGGATTTCCTTATTTAATTTCACACTTCCATTGTAGGAAACAAAACAGTGCAAAACAGTGTCAAACAGTGCCAAACAGTGCCAAACAGTGTCTAAATAATGTCAAACAATGCACTCCACAGTAAAGTCAAATTTATTTTCTTAATCTGTGTGAAGTCAAACTGAGAACTTTAATAGGGACCGGAGGGAGTATGTTAGTTTTTTCGGGTTCATCAATTTTTTAGTTCAGTTGCTAAACTCCTAAGAAAGATGTTATAGGTTCTAAACTCATCCTAGTGAAGAATATTGGCATTTAACATAACATATACTATGAAAAAGAGAAATTTAGTTCAGCAAAAAACAGTAATTTCAGTCATTTTAGACAGATAAATAACTCAAATCCTGATTATTTTGATTTTTATTACATAATTCAGAGCTCACAAATACTACGTATATAAATATGGATAGATATTGTGGCGTGTGGATGTGAAATGAAAAATATCTTCACTGAATAATTAGGTTAATTGATAGATGTGGATTGTGGATACCTTATACCACGAGCCTCAAGCAAACAAACTTATAAGGAGTATCAATCATCTAAAGCATAAAATAAAACACGTTTAAAGAGTAATAAGATAGAATTATCAATTATCCGAGAGTTATTTGAATTTATACTAATATTAGTATTGATATTGAATTGGAGTAGGGTGTTCAACTGTCTTAATACCTACAAGAGTACTGCACGTTCTACAGCTGCACCACAACAACAAGTCGCAATCAAAAAGCTGTGCTGTCCCTCTGACCAATCTACCCTCCAAACATGGTACGTTCCTTCAGTCCCATCTTCCCTTTTAAATTTCATTGTTTCAAGAGACTCAATCCCCAACCCCAATGGCCCCTACGCTCGACCTGACAAGACTCTGAAGGGTTGTAAGTCACGGTGACTCAACCATGACGATAGACCTTGCACACGTATGCATAAGTGGTCAGTCTCGCACACAGGAACTGTAATCTCCACACATGCGTTGTGTCATCATGACATTACGCATTTACAAACAATATACTCGCATAACAATGTATTGATCGCCCACCATGGAGTAGTATAGAGATTTCCTATTACTAGGAAACTTCTTCTATTACTAGTACTTCATCCTTCCCATTAAATTATTCCAACTTTCCTTTTTGGATTGTCTTAAAAAAAAATCCCACCTACCATTCTTAGACAATTTATGTGACTCACATTCATTTTACTTTTTTCTTACACAACTACAATGATACGTTTCCACTTTATTCCACTTCCTGAATATGCGTGCCAAGTCAAAGTAGGAAGTTTTTATTGGGACGGAGGAAGTATATCTTTTCCACATTTTTTGCAACATTAACACTTTTTCATACATTTGTAGGATGGCCAAAAGTTAAATATGTTCAATCATGTATTAGATGCACGCCACACATAAATGTAGCATAATTTTTTTTAGTAGGCATTAGGATTTCCCGTATTTTTTGTACTATCATTATATTACTATTATGTTATTTCTATTACACAAGACTATTGTGTCTCTTCTGAACAGAGCCACTTTCAGACGTTGAAGCACAACCCGAAATGAATGTGGAGGAGATGCAGCTACCCCAAGAGTGGACTTATTAGTGTCACAATTATGCTAGGGTTAAGTTACATTTGTGTACATAATATGTTACATTTTTTGTTGTATTATGATTAATGTTTAATTAGCAAATGTAGGTAGATGGAAAGGATTAGGAAGTAATAATAATGATAATACAAGCTAAGGGGAAATAATGAATGGTCAGAATTTCCAATGGATTGATAAATCGGAACTCTGGCTGGCTTTCTGGTTGACAAGATCAGCCTTCATTTTTTCTCTTAGGAGAAAAGTTCATTGAAGGATAGGTTGTGGAGTGGTCCAAATAATTAAAAATGAAATTCCTGTTTGTATAATAATCAAGATGTGATTTATTCTTTCCACTTTGCCAACTTCTTCTATATATGCTTATGTGAATATGTGATGTTTTATGAAACTAACAATAATTGCATTTTAAAAGTCATATAAATGTAATAAAGAAAAAGAAACAGTATGGTTTACGATTCAATACTATAGTCTGTGCGTATATAGTGCATGAGTGCATCCGGGTGTACGTACACCCGGCCCAAGTAAAAAAAACAGTCGATCCACTAATAAAGCCATATAGGTCAACAAAAATTCGATGGCATTTTTGTAATTAAAGCGACTGTTGGAGATATTTAATTGTGAATCAAGTTTGTCATAGATTAGCTTTATATTTAATCCTTGTATTTAATTAGTGCATGAATTAGATAGAAATCGGGTCAAGTGTTAGGCCCATATAAACAGGCTAAAAGCCTTGTACGCCTAACCTAAACCTCGCCTATAAAAAGGGAGGCGAGGGTTTAGGAATAGGTTAACGTCGTACACTCGTACTTATTCTTCATAGCCTTACGCACATACTTTTGTGTTGTACGAGTTCACGGTCTATCAAAGAGGGTTTTACGTTGATTCATTATCTGTTCATCCTTACGTTTAATCTTCGTTGTTAGATTGTTATTCATTACTGTTACAGAAACAGGGACTAACAATTGGTATCAGAGCCGATCGAGAATCGATCAGAAGAATGCCTGCAGAAGACTCTGTTTTTTCTTTACGTTGTTCTTACTGTCGATATATTACTCTGTAATTCTGTTTCTTGTTAAAAAGTTGTAAAAGTTACACCCTTAGAATCGTCTTTGCAAAGCGATCAAGGGGTAGACTTCAGATTTTGTTTTACGCATATTCTGTATTCGAGATATCTCGAGTAGGGGTTGTCGACATCTTGATTTTTCACAGGTTCTGCTACGTTTTTCGAGCTGAAAACTTTACCCGAGGATCTCGACATTCTACTCTACAGGAAACTACCTTCAGATTTTGTTTATCTGATTTTTACAGTTTGCAGGATTTCGACATTGAGGATTTCGACATCTAGGATTTCGAGATCTTGTTTTCGAGTTAAGGTTTCGACATCTGGTCTCGACATTTGACTTCTCAGAATTAAGGTTTCGAGTTTTAACTTCTCGACATTTCAAATCTCGAGATCAGCTTCTCGAAATTTGAAATCTCGAGATCCCTAATCTCGAGATCTTTAATCTCGAGCTCAAATCTCGATACCGGGCCTCCTTTATCGAAATCTGAGATTTCGATATTCAGATCTCGACATCTGATTTTTCGACTTTCTGCCTCTGAAAATCTTTTGATCAATTTTCTCGAACGGTCAGTTTAGTACAACAATGGCTTCAGAATACAATGCTCAAGGGAACAGCAGTACCCCTCCTAGTCTCAGGAAGGGAGAATACCAAATGTGGAGGAACAGATTCCTTAATTTCCTCGAACACAAAAAGAACTCCGCTGCAATGCTTGAATCATTGCTTGAAGGACCAGCTGAACTCTTGATTTCAGTTGGTGGTGATCCAGAAAATAATCCTCCTATTTTTCCAGAAATAAGGAGGAAAGTGTCATCTGAATACACAGAAACTGACAGGCTCAGGCTTCGTGGTGACCTCATGGCCAAAACGTACCTTCTTCAAGCAATCCCCAATGAAGTATATGTTCTCATTGACAGCATGCAAACAGCTAAGGAAATGTGGGATGAGATAGAGAAGCTGCTCCAAGGTACAAACATCAGCCTCAAAACCAAGAAGACTACGATTCTTATTGCTTATGACTCCTTCAAAGCAGGTCCAGGAGAACCATTGAATGAGACTTACAACAGACTTGTTCAACTGGTCAATGAACTAAGAAAAATCAAAGTATTCAGGTCCAACTTGGAACTGAATATTAGATTTCTATCCAGCCTGCATCCTGCATGGGAAAAGACAGTGAAGGATGTTAGATCTCGGATAGATTTGGACGAAATTGACCTCTGCACACTCTATGAACATCTGAAGCAATTTGTCAACGAGGTTGCCTGTGCTGAGGATCATCACACCACAAACCCCTTAGCTTTCGTAATGGAGGCTCAGCCAAGAAGGACAACCACTTCACTAAAGAAGAAAAAGAAGAAGGTAGTGGTTGAATCAGATGATGATGAAAGTGATGATGACAAATCTGATCTAGAAGCTGAGCTAGCAGACTTACAGAAGAAGATGGCACTGCTTGCCAAAAGATTTGCTAAGAAGAACAGCTCCTCCAACAAGCTGAGAACCTCCTCCTCAAACTACAAGCAGAAGAACCATGATCAAGGATCTTCTAGGAAGGCACCATCAGCAGAAGAAGCTCCCAAATGCTACAACTGTGGTAAGGCTGGACACGTCATCAAAGACTGCCGCCTCCCAAAGAAGAAAGATGTTAATTTCTACAAGCAGAAGATGCTGTGGAATAAGCAAAAAATGCTGATGGTGCAGAAAGAAGAAGAAACTTCTGCAATGATTGCTGAGAATGAGAACTGGGCAGAAGATTCTTCTGAGGAGGAGGAGGAGGAAGTCAACTATGCCCTCATGGCACGAGTGGAGGAAGATGAAAGAAAGGGTGATGCTGCGATCCCCGAAAGCGAATGCTCAACTAGCTCTGTAAGTACCTTACATACTCCTTTAAATAACCAAATGCAGTCCTTACTTGAAAAAGACAATCTAATCAAAGAACTAAAAGAGAGACTAGACAATAATTACAGGGTACTGAAACAGAATCTAGATCAAAAGTCTTCCTTAAGTATTCAACTTGAAATTGCAAAAGATCAGGTCAAAAAGGTGTCCTCAGATTTTGAAAGCTTTGAACTTAAGATAGCTGAACTAACTAGGAAATTTGAGGATAGTGAACGGGAAAAAAGCACAGCAAAGGCTGAATGTGATTTTTTGCATAACAAGAGAAGAACACTTTTAATTAAGGTAAAAGAACTAGAGGATCTAGCTGCTAAGAGAGGTCAATCAGAACAAACTGTTTTTCTGCTTAACAGCAAACAAAAAGATGACCGGTTTTACAATGCTAAAACAGGACTGGGCATAACCAACCCACGTAATCTAAAGAAAGTTAACTGTATTCAATTCTATAACAAAGATTACATGGGACTAGGGTTAGTCGAGAAAATGCATTTTCGAAGTGATGAAGAAAACGCTGAAGCAGAAGAAGAAAAGATAAAGAATCCAAAGTCTGAGATTTCTTGTGACTATTCCTCTATAAATGAACAACAACTTTCACAAGAAAAACCTACTTCCTGCTTTAGTGAATGCCTTGACCCTTATGCCAAAGATATTCCTCATATATGACATCCTCTAGATCCTCCCCCAAGAGTAGGCATTGCTAAAACTGGTGAGGAACCCTGTATATTTCCCATGGCTCAAAAGCTCAAAAACCTACAGGAAACTCTTGATAACGAGAGAGAGAGAGATTTGAAACTGAAAAGAAAGGTTTTGAGCGCAACTGGCAGGAACTTCTTCAAAAGTTCAATGATTTGAGTGAGCAGTATCATGCTAAAACAGACCCTTCTACGACTAAGCCTGACAGGTCACACACCTCACATGAGAAAAACAATTTTTTAAAAGGTTCGTCCACTCATCTCTCTTCTCCTTTGTTTACAGGAAATGAAGTGAAGAAGGAAGGAGAAGAGAAGAATGAGTGGAGGAAAAAGAGGAAGGAAATCGCAGATGGCAAAAAGAAAGTTTTTGAGAATAATGTCAGTCCTAGATCTAGTTCTATTTTTTCTCTAAAGTTGATTGTAATTCTGTCTCTACAAAACAAACTTCTAGTAGTTCAGTCTTGAGTCCCTAGCTGAATTTTTCTGAGACATCTTCTAGACAACGTTCTATTTATAATACAAGTGTTGCTTATGGTTATTCTGTTCCAGATCCCCATAATTATGAATGTGATGCGAATGTTGTTAAATCAAAGCCTCTCAGAAAGCTCAAACCTGAAAAAGAAACCAAGAAAGGAACTTCTAAGGGAACGTTTTGTATTCCTGATATGAAATATGCCCTTAGAGTTCATTCTAGGAAACATCTTAATCGGCTTTCTAAAGAGGAGATTTTCAAAACCAAACTTAAGAAACTACCGTTCAATCACAAAGCACCTGTCTACTCTCCTCCTAAACCTAAAACGGAAAGGTGGGTCCCCAAGATAAGACCCACCAAAACTGAAACTAAAAGGTGGGTCCCCAAGTTGAGACCCATCCAAACTGAAACTGAAAGGTGGGTCCCCAAACGAAGACCCATCCAAACTGAAACTGAAAGGTGGGTCCCCAAACGAAGACCCATCCAAACTGAAACTGAAAGGTGGGTTCCCAAATTCAGACCCACCAGAACTAAAATGGAAAGGTGGGTTCACAACATCAGACCCACCAAAATGGAAACTGCTAAGTGGGCTCCAAAAATCAGACCCACTGCAAAAGCAGATCTGGCTATTGGAGAGCCCACAAAAGATAGATCTTTTGTTGAAAGAGCTGCTGACCTTGGATCACAGCTCAAAGCAAGATTTAAAAAGGTGTTTTTGATAATAAGGAAGGACCCACTCGAAGTTGGGTACCTAAACCTGTTTGATTGTTTTGCAGGACGGTCGTGTGTGGCACTTAGACTCAGGATGCTCAACCCACATGACCGGAATAAAGCACCTTTTGAGCAACTACACCAACTGCTACGGAGGCAATGTCAGATTCGGGAATGACGCCTCATCTCCTATCCTTGGGTATGGGGACGTCGTCTGTGCCAGTGTCACATTAAAAGATGTTTCATTTGTCAAAGGGCTCAAACACAACTTACTGAGCATTGGACAATTCTGTGACAGCGGGATGGAAGTGAGGTTCTTTGCAAAACAATGATGTGATCTTGACAGCACAAGGAATACATTATTAACGTGTTACAGAACATCAAATCTGTACACTATTGATCTGAAAAGCGTCCAATCCACCACTTCCATCTGTCTGCTGTCCAAAGCTTCAACTGAACAGAACAACCTATGGCACAGACGTCTCTCCCATCTGAACTTCAA